CTTTTTTTTTTTTAAGAGAGAGGAAGGAAGAGGGGGAGAGAAACGTCAGTGGCATGCTCCTTAGCTGATCAGTTACCTCCTGCATGCCTTCCACCAGGGATCAAGCCTACAGCCTGGGCATGTGCCCAAGTAGGAATCAAATCGGCAACCTGTCAGTGCATGGGACAACATCTGAGCCACACCAGCCAGGCCTGGCTCCCTTCTTGATTCCTTCTCCCCCCATCCCAAATCCCAGGGCTGTTTTTGGAAGCTCAGGCTCAGAGAGCCGAGTGCCATGGTGCTAGCAGCGTACCTCACAGCTCCCCATTTTGCAATGCCAAGGCTTCCTGATGAAAAACTTTCATTTCCAGTCACTCAAGAAGCCAATGCTTGGTTGTGAGAGGGTTCTCTCTGACCTATGACCTCAGGACCAAAACCCTTATCCTTTGACATTACTACAGTTTCTTGGTAGGACATCCTATAATAATACTCAGACTATTTTATGAAATATTAGATAAGAGTTCCCACCTATGTACTGAGAAGTAACTTACTGACACATAGGACTAGTGTGCCAGGAGGGAAAACAAATGATTCCTAGACATTACCTTGGTTCTATTTAGTTCTGCTCAGGCTTCTCAAATTAGTCCTTCTTAGGCTACCTCTACAGAGTTCTATCTTTCTATGTGTCACTTAAGAATTAAAAATTTAAGCCAAAGGAAAGTTGTCATTATCTACTATATGCCAGGCATTATGCTGGACATTTGGGGAAAATATAAGTTTGTGTTTTTTTTTTAAACATATGGGCCCTGCCTGCATTCAAAGAATTCACAGGAAGGCATATAACAAACATAAGGCAAATATTGAATATTGTGTATTTTGTAGCTATAATGTTGTAGGACTAGTAGGTAAAGGAGTCATAAAAAAAAAAAACTGCAATAAAGGTGACCTATAAAAGGAAAAGAGGAGGTTTTAGGGAAAAGAGAAGTGATGAGCATGGCAGGTGAGAAGAGAAACAGGACCAAGATATGCATGCATTCATTTGATGAATATTTACTGAACACATTTTCTCTAATTTCTTGTTTCTTGCATGAAACTCCCTCTACTAGACAAGCATTTCTCTACAAGATGAAGCTAAAAAAAAAAAGAAATCTGTGGTCAGCGAGGCCCGAGAAGGCTGCATACCACATCCATCTTTGGAGACAGAAGTACTATATGCGTATTAGCATACTAAAGGCTCTGAGAAGTCCTGCAGTAAAGAACCTTTTCAATGTTGTTTAACCTGGAACTTCCCAAATTTACCTGACCACAGAATGCTTTTTTTAAAACTTGACACCTATTTCCATCCAGAGAAAGTACCGCTCAAGGGGACACAGAGGAAACACTGCCTTACACCAAGGTAGGAGGAAAATGTGGGGTCTGTGACAAACCTACATGAGAGCTAACTCTGGCTGGATGAGGTGAGAGCAGCAACAAAGCAGATCAAAGCCTGTTGGCAGAAAGAGTAACAGACCCTGCAAAAGGATTAGGAGGAGCTAGTCTGTGATTCTAGCTAATGGATCTAACCATAGTACAGACAATATAAGGCAACAAGTCAATGACATATGTATGAGACAGTAAGAGGAAAAACCTCAGAAAATCTATAATATTTCACATTTCTATTGTTCAGAACCTGTTACTTGATGGAAGGTCTTATATGTCAGATTATAATCTATATACTCTTTAAGGCAGACCTCAGTTTTCTGCCTTTCAAGTTTAGTCTGATAGCTCATACTGATTCACTCAAATACTCAATGCTTATCCTATTATATGTTAGAAACCCAGTGCACAAAAATTGGGAGGAGGGGGGTTCCTCAGCCCAACCTGTGCCCTCTCGTAGTCCAGGAGCCCTCAGGTGATGTCCAACTGACACCTTAGGTCTGCTCCCCGGGGGGTGCGGGCCTAAGCCACAGCCTGGCTTCCCTCTGCAGGAGGTGACTGAACGGGCCTATCAGGGGATGGCACCAGCTGGTGAGCAGCCAGCCCTGCCCCCCATTGCCCCACCAGCACTACCAGTGGCCTCCCTCTAAAGGAGGCGACCTGATGGGCCGATAAGGAGACGGCATTGGCTGGTGGGTGGCCGGTCCCACCCCCCCCATTTGCCCCTCCGGCACTGATGGTCTCCGCCGACTGCCCCCATCACCTGTCCCCTCCCTCTGCCCAGTGGCATGCTCCTTAGCTGGCCTGGCGTCACCTGCTTGCTGGCCCTGCCTCCCACCAACCAGTTATTCCACTGTTGGGTCGATTTGAATATTACACTTTTATTATATAGAATTATATAGGGTAATAAAAGCCTAATATGCTAAGTGTCTGGCCATACAGTCATCTGTTCAACTAGAATAATATGCTAATGATATGCTAAGGCCATTCAACCGCTCGCTATGACATGCACTGACCATCAAGGGGCAGACACTCTGACCAGTAGGTTAGCTTGCTGCTGGGGTCCAGCTGATCAGGACTGAGCGAGATGGGCTGGACATGCCATGGTGCCTGCCTGTGGTCCCTCCACTGGTCAACCTCCAGCCCTGATCGTGCACTGGGACCCCTGGGAAGGTGTCGGAGAGCCAGTTTTAGCCCAATCCTGCAGGCCAGGCTGAGGGACCCCACTGGTGCACAAATCATAAACTGGGCCGTTAGTCTATATATATAAAAGCCTAAGTGACCAAATGACCAAACAACCAGTTGCTATGACATGCACTGACCATCGAGGGACAGATGCTCAACGCACAGGATCAGGCTTCCTCCTGTCTGGATTGGGCCTGCGGGGATTGGGTTCCCTTCTATCTGGATAGGGTACCATCCTGTCTGGAACAGCTATCTGACATTCCCTGAGGGGTCCTGGATTGCGAGAGGGCACAGGCCAGGCCGAGGGACCCCACTGATGCACAAATCCGTGCACTGGGCCTCTAGTAATTTATAAAGCACTCACAGATACCTGCTCTCACCTTATCCTCTCCTCAGGCATTAGAAGCAGAGAAGGTGAGAGTGTGGCAAAGACTTCCCAAAGTGAGGCCTGAATAGAAGACCAGGTTTCCTGTCCCTTCCACTCCAACTGTAATTCCAACTTTCTGAAACAAGCCTAGACACCTATGATCCCCCAACACCATCAAAATACCCCCAACACCATCAAAATACCCCATCAAGATCCAATTCTATCCCTTCTGGAAGGAACCCAAAGATCTTTTGTTTTGTTTTTGGTTTTTGTGTTTTGTTTTTTTGTTTTTTGTTTTGGTTCAAATTCCTTTGGCAAACACGGTCAACTTTAATACATCACAAGATTTTCAGAAAACGTTCGATCATTACTTGGAAAACTTATATAAGGTAATAGAATATGCTAAATACATTGTTTTTGTCCATCTAGATTTTTTTTTTTAAATCGAAGTCAGCAAATGCATTCTCTAATGGATAGAAACATAGAAACTCACCTGCACAAAATCTAAAATACAATAAATCATTTATTTTTGGCCTTGAGCTCTATTTGTTTATTTAAATACAGCTCAGGTTGAAACCTGGAGGAAATTATTTCTCCCCAGATGATGAAACCGTACTTATGCTCCTCCCTGACATGGCTCTTCCCTGCTACACTCACTGACACTCGATGCACCCAGAGCTCCTTTCTGACTGCTGCAAGACATCAGCCCAGCAAAGAGGCTGTTTTGAAAGTGCACAGGTATCAAGGAAATTTCCGATACATTAGCTGTTATGCATGTGTCAGAGAGTACGGGTCCGCTGGGTCTTTACCTGGGGTGATTTTACCCCCCATCCCACATCCCCTCAAGGTCATTGGGCAATGGCTGGAGACAGTCTTAGCTGTCACAACAGGAGGAGGGGGAGCTCCAGGCACCTAATGGGTAGAAGTCAGGGACACTGTTCAACATTTCACAGTGCACAGGACAGCCTCTGTCACAGTTATCTGGCCCAAAATGTTGATAGTGTTGAGGCTGAGAAACCCTGCACTAAGTTAACAAAGCACACAGTGAAACGATATATGAGTACTGTCAATAAACCTGAATGCAATAATCACACAGAGTAACTGGTGCTCAGTCCTGTGGATTCTGACTCAGTGAAATAATCTGGATACTCCAGCTGGTTGTCACAGCGTGGTGCCTGTTAGGCTTAAATGCCAACATAGCTAGTTTTCAAATCTGTTAACGAATGTGGATAAGAAGGAACAGACTGGATTAAAGTCATAACAAGAGGCCATCATTCTGACCAATATATCATTAAGCAAATATCTGAGAGCACAAAACAGTGAAGTAGATATGCCATATCCTTAAAAAAAAAAAAAAAAAAGGATATGACAAATATTTAAACTGTAAAAATAAACAAGGGGTACAAGTAGGAAAACTAAGTCAAATGTGAAAACTGAGGACCAGCTCATGACCTAGGCTTAGTTCATCCCATTAATTCCTTAGTTCACTATGACAGAAACGGGTACTTCTCGACAGCCACCAGGACATCTCTGTTCCAGTGATGAAATTCTATAATGTTCTTCCCAAGCCTGCACTCCTTCAGCTAGCTATATCATATGGTTCACCCACACCAACGAAATTTAAAATAATTAGAGAACATTTGATTTCAGAAGACATAGAAATACTTGAGAAAGTGGCTCTCTGAAATAAGAGACCAACTAGCTCCCCAGCAAGAAGTGAGGAGAATCACCTTCACTATCATTTATCATTAGCTTTTAGAAATTCCCAAAGACATCTCAGGTCGCAGAAAAAGGAAATAATAAACTCAAGTGAGAAGCATCTTTATGCAATGCAGAAAGAAAATGGAAGTGCAGAGTATGTCAAAAAAGAAAAGATTAAAAATGCAAAAATGCTGCTTCGTTTATACTACACGGGGGGAAAAAAATCACAAAACGGAATTGAAGGGCATTCCAAGTCATCTGCAACAGACCCAAAGGCTGTTTATTATTTTACACATTGTACTACAGATTATTATAAAATTTTAGAAGTAGGAAAAAACAAAACAAAACTAACCTTAAGGTTATCAAAGGTTTTGACAGTCTGCGCCAAGTCACTGATACTCCCTGGTGATGCTGTCCCCTGTGCCCTAGGACCTGAGGACACCTGTGAGCCGTCAATGACCTCAAAGCCAGAAAGCAAGGCCTCTGAACAGCTGCAATGAGACTCCTTCGCTCTCTTACCCGCTATCAGGTATGTCTTCAAACCTATGGATAAAAATTACAGTCAGCACAGGTTGAAACCACCTTTGGTTGAAATACAGCTCCATTCTTGCTCTCCGTGCAGGACCTGCTCCTGGAAAGTTAAAAGTAAAGTGAAAAATGTGAATATGTCATATTTTACTCCTGACTTCCATCTTTTCAGAGATGTGCAGCCTCGGGGGGACATCTGCCTCTAAGCAACACCATTTACTCCCATTATGTTTTCTTTCAATGATGGCTGCACATTTTACCTTTGAGGGCTGAAATGAGCAATAAAAAATTCCTTCTTTGTGAGAGCAGCAGAGCCAAATGATGGTGGGCCCTCTGCACTTCCTGGGTTTGTTTTCATCTCTCAATACCAGTCACTGACATATACAATGGTAAGTCTAGTTAGTTGTAAGGGATTTAGAAGTTGGACCATTTTTTCCTATGTCCCCTGACATAGGCAAAACTACTATGAAAAGTGAGACCATAATATGCACCCACAGGGGTAATTAAAACCTCCCTTGATTAAAATTTGTCAACTATCTATTTTCTGTTGGATCCAGATATTCATAGCAAAAACATTCAGCTTTCATCTAGCTGCAGTCTACGCAAATTTTATCCTCTCACAAAATCCTCATTAAAAATAAAAAAGTTGCTGAAGTGGACAATTAACCTATATCTTTCAAGTCTCATTAAAGGCTGAGATAACACATTAATGTATGCTACACAGGTAAACAGCTGTAACCAGCATGTAGGACCCTGCTCTGGGTAGTCAGAACTATCTGCTGGGGAAGTAATGAGGAGCTTTTCCAGATCAAACTCAACAAATTTCTGAAAAAGAAGCAAATCTTATTTAAAACATTTAAAAAAAAATCCCCACCCAAAGATATGTTTTATTGATTTTAGAAAGAGGAAGGGAGCGAGAGAGAAACAGATATTGTGTCACAGAGAAACATTGATCTGTTGCTTCTGGTACATTCCCTGACTTGAAATCAAATCCACAACCTAGCTAAGTGCCCTGACTGGGAATCAAACCTGTAACCTTTTGGTGTATGGGACAATATTCCCAGGAACTGAGCCACCGAACCAGGGCAGAAGTGAATCTGATTTAAATAAATTCATTGTTGGTCCTTACTAGAATTTAACCAGATTGCAAATGTATTAAAGGGAGTAACTATAATTTATTTAATAAATGTTTATTTTAGGCATGGTGCATGTTATAGAGGGTGGGCAAAAGTAGGCTTACAGCTGTGAGTATGGAAAAACCAGAACTTATTCTTATATTATTATTGTATTATTTTCCATACAAACAAATGTAAACCTACTGTTGCCCCATCCTGTACTAAGAACAAAACAGGGGCCTGTCTTGGAGAGTTTAAGCTCCAGCATGAGGTGGTAATGAAAAGCCATCATGGAAACACTAGATCAGGTGACGTATCTACACTGCTGAACAAGCATGGTTGCTTACACACCGTGTATATTTAATAAATGCTTTAAAATAAATTAATCAAATAACCTAGGGACTATTTAATCAATAATCCTTAATCATTTTATAATTACACCTCCATTTAATCACTTAATCTTTGTTCATTTCCACTCGCTTCATAAAAATATCTATGGTGTATGTTTTTAAATTAACTTTCTAAGAATTTGGCGAGAGTCCTTAAAACAGCTAGAGACATCCTTAAATATAGCTAAATCCCAGGTGGGAATCAGAAGACTTAGATAAATAATTTTAGATGCTAATTAATCCCAAAGGAACTAGTTCACATGCTGTTAGCTACGGTTCTGATCTTCCTTTTTTTTTTTTTTTTTTCCCCTCCTCAAACAAAAATGCACATCCCAATTTATGTAGAGAATCGATTACAGATATAACTAATTACATGCATAATCTTGAACTGGGAACATGAACTAGAATATAACAGAAGCGTAAAAGCAACTTCCTATGAATTTCTCAGGCTCTTGTCACAGACAGCACTTGTTATTTCACCTTGGGGGGAGTTGAAAAACACCACCTTTGTGGGCTAACCAGAGAATAGTCCTGTTTCTGGCCTTCAAGTCCTGGGCTGGCAGGGCTTATTCCTGGTCATCACAGAAGTATATGAAAAGGCTGCTCTAATGGTCCCTCCTCTGACTCCCAAAGGAGCATGTGCTGCCACTGCACACGGCAACCTGGGAGACCAGAAGGAGGGACATTTTTTTATTGTAGGAAGCGAGAAGCTGCCACTGAAGGGAGGTTTTCCTTTATGCCAGCAGCTGGTCCTGACCCCAGAAGAGTGTTCCCTTCGAGATGCTGCTGGTTCAGGGCTGCTTTGGTTGAAGCTGCTAATCCCTGAGGAATGCCACAGAGCATAAAGCTGAGAAGCCAAAGAGGCTCTGCTCTCAGCTCTCAATCCATGAAGTGTCCTTGGTAACTGCCTCGCTCTTCCCTGTGCAGCACCAGACCTGTAAGAGCCAGTGAAGGAGGTCTTTCCTAGAGGTGCAATAGCTAAAGCAGGGAAACGGCTGAGTCCCACTGAGACATGCATGATGCTGAAGCCAGCGCTTCAAAGCAGAAAGGTGCCCACCACCCAGGAGGGTGCAGCAATAGTGCCCAGATCTGCAGTCACAAGCTCTGTCGCTGCCTTGGAGAGCATATCCCTGAGGTTTGTTATTACTACTATGAATTGTGACTACTGTGATACTGCTCATTCATCACTTATTGAGCACCTCCTGTTTACCATGCACTGTGATGAGTTTAGAATACATCAATCAGGCTATCCCCTGAAGAAGGATCTAGTCAGCAAGCAGGATGAGGACATGCTGGTGTTCTAGAAAGCATAGGAGGGAAACCTTGCAAAGACTTAGAGGTTAGGGCAGGATTCCTGGTAAAAGTGCCCTTCAAGCAAGGAACTGCAAGATGAAGAGAAGTCAGCTCAACGAAAGCCAGCAGGGTCAGGTGCTGAGGTATTATCATCAGGCTGTGGGTGCTACTGCAATAAATAGGCCCTCCAGAAAGGGAGCTTTTGGCAGTAGAGTCAAGGGATGGAAGTAAATTGAATGGGACCAGGACAGGAGAATGAATGTAGGTGAATGGCCAGAGATAACCTGGGGCCATGTAGGTGGGGTGAAGACCAGCTGCAAGAGTCTTCACGATAGGGGCAATTGGGAGAATGGGGAGCAGGCACAAGGCTTAGGAAAGGCCAGGGAGCTATGGAACTGCCAGTCACAGTGGGTGGGAAGCGGGTAGGGAATATGGGAGTCAGGAAGTTAATTGTGGGAACAGGAACCCCAAATGTGGTGGTGATAGCACAATGCTTCTACAGCAGGCCCTAGAGAAATGGGTAAGGGCATGGCTTCTGCAGAGCAACCTCAGATTCAGGCTACTCCACCTCTTCACTGCATGACCTGGAGTAAAATACCCCAGCCCTCTGCATCTCAGTTTCCTCCTGAGGTGAGGCTAAAAACAGGACGCACCCCACATGGCTCATGTGAGGATTAAACAATGAACACATATGGAGGTTTTAAAACTACCTGACACATAACTCAGTAACCTTAACTATTGTTATCAACTAGTGGCCTGGTGCACAAATTCGTGCTCATAGAAAGGAAATTGATTAGAATATATTTTAATGTTGCCTTTCTCTATAATAAAAGTGTCAACCAAATTCATAATCAACAATGACAGATGGAAACACAAGCATACGATTGGCGCCAGCGAAAGCTTATATATATCATTTATACGTGAGTCAACTTAACCTTTTAGAGATACACAATACACTTGCTTAATTAGATCAGCTTTCTGATTTAGGTAAACATTTTCCAGGCCAGTGAAGCACCCCAACCTCTCTTTCAGGTAATTGTCAGCAACACAACACTAAATATCAACACAAAGCAGATTATTATTGTAGATTACGCAGAAAGAACAAAGGGTAAATACTTAACTGCAGCAGTGTTTGACTATATGTTGCACAGTGAGAAAACCTGAAGGCATTTTCAAAATCCACCATTTCTTATTTCTTTTCAGTCTGGTCAAAGTTTTAAGCTTTCTAAATCTCTGCTTTCCAGCCAATGAAAATAAAATAAAATTCTATCGAGTCTCCTTCCTACCTACTCCAGGACTTCTGTGAGGATCAAATGAGATGAGACATGGGAAAACACTTCACATTCATTTGGTTAAAGGATAAAATGTTTGCACCTGGCTATAAAGCAAGTTGTATTCCTGGCTGAAGAAATTCCAAGGAGGCTAGTCACTAGGGAGAGGAAGCGGGTATTGCTACGTGATGTCATTACTCAGCACCCACAGTGACAGTTTCTAGGTTGGGCTGGGCTGTGGGCTGTATTTTGCGCCATGGAGTCTCAGCAGTATTGGCTGCAGTTTGGTGGGCTGACGCTTCAGGGTGGGGGAAGCCAAGTGTTGCTTTGTGGACACCAGGTATGCAGTGCCATTTCTCTGTAAATGACCAGTGCCTGTCATGGCAGCTCCTGCTTTGAGCATCTGCCCCCTGGTGGTCAGTGTGTGTCATAGTGACCCATCAGACTGTCAGAAGGTTGGACACTTAGCCTATTACACTTTTATATGTATATATAAATATGGATGTTTGATCTGCCCATCACTGGAGTCTTTTTCATGCTCCTATGTACAAAAGCATATGCAATAATTGCTCCAAATTTGTTTCTAACTTGAATTTTTCTTTAGGAAGCCTCCCAATGGCCAACTTGTAGTGATGACACACTACCGCCAGTGTTCCCAAGGTTTAGCGTGTGTATGTGTCCATGGCAAGCAAAATTGGTGAACAAATTAAGTATCTTTTTATTTATGTTTTAATATAAAGCTAAATTTAAAGTGAAACCTTTTTGCCAAAACTACAGGGATGTCAGCATGATAAAGAAAGGGTGGGCTTAGCTGCCTGATGTGAAATACCCAGGAAATGTATTAGGTCTGAGTGACTGAGTCCCAGCCTTCTCAAGTCTGATAGAGTTTATAAAAGATAAGGATTTAATGAGTAACCACACACGTGAATCCTGAGGTCCAAGTTCAT